GAGAGAGAGAGAGAGAGAGAGAGAGAGAGAAAGAAAGAGAAACTTTGATGTGAGAGAAATGCATTGATTGGTTGCCTCCTGCACACACTCTGACCAGAGCTGGGGATGGAGCCTGCAACCCAGGTATGGTGCCCTTGACCGGGAATTGAACCCGAGATGCTTCAGTGCGGTGGGGTGGGGGGCTGTCGCTCTAACCATTGAGATAATTAATCAGGGCTAAAGAGTCTCTTCTTGACCAAACTTTAGGCAGGCTCCTTTGAGCCCTCTGCTTGGCCTTGGGCTCCTGTCTTTGTCCATGTAGAGTCCAGTTTTAGCAAGATTCCTATCAAGTTGGTTTGGCCAGAATCCCTCACCCTCAATACCTGATCACCCTTGATATTTGACCAAGTTCCTCATCTGCCACCAACCTCCAGGTGACATCTGAGCACCCTGGCCTGCCTTCTGTAAGAACCCTGCTAGGCCCATTTAGCCAGATGTTTCCCCTCAGTAGCCCCCTTTCCCCTGCTCCTTGGGGATAAACTCCCACTTTTCCTTATTGTATTTGGAGTTGAGGGCAATCTCTCTCCCTTACTACAAAAGCCCACGCAGTGCTCCCCATACCTATCATGATAGTCCCGAATAAAGTCTGCCTTACCAAGTAGCATGATTATTCTTTTCTTTTAAAATGGTTGGACTTTGAAAGATCGTTCTGGCTGCTGCACAGAATATTGGAGTGTGGGCATGAAATTAGGGGAAGGCAGAAGGGATGGGTGGAGGCCGCTGCTCCTGGTGAGAGAGTATAGGCCCAAGTCACAGTGAGAAGGAGTGGGGGCAGGAGGTTGATGGGACTTGCACTTTGGAGGGAGGAGTCTCCATCTCTTCCCTGCTGTAAGCCCTTACCTGGCTGCCATCACTCTGATAGATGAAGCTCCCTAACTGAGACCCATTTGGCCCATTCTGGCAACCACCATCTCATCCCACATGTCCTGTCACCTCAGGGCCTTTGCACATGCTCTGGTAGCCTCTCTTGGGAATGTCCTTTTCTTTGTTCAATTCCTGACCTTCTGGAAGATCTCAGGTCAATTAGCACTTTCCAGAGAAGCCTCTCTGGCTCCCCCAGCATGGTGACTGTCCCTGCTGTGGGTACAGTGGGCTTTTATACCAGAGTGTGGTTACCGGTTAACGTCTGCCTCCCCTAAGAGTGTAACACTCCAAGGCGCAGGGCCAATGTGAGTTATTCAGTCCAGGGCTTGGAACAGAGTGCATATTCAATAAATATTTGTCAGATGGCTGGCTGATTGGTGGGTTGGTCCTTATTGGGCAGACATAAGCCAGATCTCTTCATTAGCGATTGGCTCAAAGTCTTGCATGAGGCCAGTAGTATGAGCCAGGGCCAGCATGTGGACTGAGGCCATTGGCTGCAGGAGGCTTAACCCATGGCAACTTGGGAGAGAACTCCTCCCTCAGAGCAAGTCTGGTCTGACGGGCCTGAGGGTGGGACACTCGCGGGGCTTTCAGGCTTATCCAGCCTACCACACGACATCCTGGCGATGGTTAGCGGTTATCGACCTGTCTGCCACCTCACCAGGCTGCAGCTCCTCTGGGGTGGGGACTGGGTGGGCACTTTTTAATTCTGGGTGCGCAGTGCCCGACCCAGAGCCTGGCATGGACAACACACCGTGAGTGACTGCACACTGGAACTGCACCAAACTAGGCTGTGAAGTCCAGAGAGGCTTCAGTTGACTGAGAGGTTGAGAAGGGATCTGGGGAGAGAAGGAAGAAAAGGGGACAGCTTTAGTCTCTTCTGGCCGCCATAACGAAAGACCACAGACTGGGAAGCTTAAACAACAGAAGTGTATTTCTCACAGCTCTCGGGGCTGAGAAGTCCAAGATCAAGGTGCCGGCCAACTTGGCTCCTGGTGGAGGCCCTCTTCCTGGCTGTAGACAGCTGTCTTCTCACTTTGTCTTCAATGGTCTGCGTGCTCCTGACCGGGAAGGAGAGAGAGATGAGTGGCAGGCGGAGCTGGTGGGCTCCTGCAGAGACCCCAGTGCCACCTCACTCCTGGGCCCTGTGGCCCCAGGACAGTTGCAGGCTACGCCCCCCTCCCCGCCAGAGGCTGTTTCAAACTTGCTGTGACTTGGGGTAGGTTACTCCTCTCTCTGTGCTTCCGTTTCCTCTCCGGTAAAATGAGAATAACACCTTTTACGCCAGAGTCAAGGAGGGAGGGAAATTAAGAATAAAATGAGCTCCAGCTGGTTTGGCTCAGTGGCTAGCAATTGGCCTGCAGACTGAAGGGTCCTGGGTTCAGTTCCAGTCAAGGGCACATGCCCAGGTTGCGGCTCAATCTCGAGGGGAGAATAAAATGAATCAAAAACAAAACAAAACAAAATCAACAGCTTCCCCTCGTTTTCTTTCTTTGCATTTCCGGTGTTCCTTTCTCCCCTCTGTCTCTCCACTCCGGTCATTCCTCCATCTCTTTCCTAGAGCGCTCCAGGCCCATCCGGATTCCGGAGCGAAGGTCAGATGGAGGCCGGGCCGGACCCGCTGGGTTAGGAGACGGACCCGCATGGCGCGAAGATCGGATTCTCCCACTTTTTAGGGGAGCTTTCTGACCGTGGGGCCAGCACAGGCAGGCACTACC